CATAATATCTAACTACTTTTGCTAACTAAATTACCTAACTATCGACCTAAACAAATAAGTATCTAACTGTCTAACTATCTCTATAACAAGATAAGAGATTTGGTAACTACACTTACTAACTAGCTAACTAAATCAATAGGTAACTAACTCCCTAATTATGTCTCTAACAATCTAATCTAACTAAATAAGCTACATACATATATTCCTAAGTATATAATATAACTAAAAAATAAGCATCTAACTTGCAACCTATGTAATTAAATTTGCAAACTAGATTTGCTAAATATTCTAAAAAATAAATTTAAGTTAATTACTAAATTATCTGTATTCCTAACTAGATTTGCTAACTTGCAACCTATATAATTTAAGTTAATTGTAACCTATGTAATTACTAGATTTGCTATATTTAAGTTAAACTAGCTAACTAAATTATCTAAAGTAAATTAACTAATTTAAGTTAACTAAAAAATTACTAACTCATCAGTAACTTTACTGGTGGCTCATGAACGGTCCGGAGGAGCAGTGACTAACACACGAAGGGGGGGAGGGCGGAGACCGACCGCCGTCGGGAGCACCCATGCGGCGGGTGGCCCCGCCCTCGCCGCCTTGACACGGATGAGGAGGACGGAAGGGCGATGAGGGCGGCGGGCTTCAGACGGAGATGGGAGGTGGGCGGGGCTTGCTGCGGCGCTATGCTGAAAGGAGGGGTGCGAGGAGGAGGCTCGGCCGCCGGTGAGTCGACGGCGGCGTAGGAGGCGCAGGCAAACCTGCGAGCGACGGCAGCGTAGGAGGCAGAGACAGAGCGTGAGAGAGAGAGAGAGAGCTGCAGCCGCGGGTTTTGAATCAATGCTCGGCGCCAAGATCTGTGGCACCGAGCTCGGTGCCAAGATCTGTGGCGCCGACGTGCCGGCCACGTTAACGCCACCTAGGATGGATTGTTGTGCTAGGCCAGGCACCTCGGCGCCAAGATCTGTGGCGCCGTGACGTGTTACCTCGGCGCCATGATTCCTGGCGCCGACCCCCAGGGTCCAAAGATGAGTTTAAGTCTCCCAGGAGGCCAAACATAAATTTTCTTCAAAAAAGGGTCAAATTGTAAAAAATTAGGTCACTTGTCCATCTTCCACTCCACCGCCCGACCCGCTCCTCCTGCCGCTGTTCCCGTCCTATTTCGCATCGATGCTCTGCGCTCTCCCTGCTGCTCCGCGCGTCTGCCATGCTGCCATGCCGCTCATGTTGTTGCTCCTGCTCCGTTGCCCGCCCCACCCGACGATGCCGCTGGTGCAAGGAGAAGCACTAGGCCTTAGCGCGTAAGTCCTCTAGCCGGCCTCACCTCCTGCTAAAGCTGCGGCGCCCCGATGCAGACGGCGGAGGAGGCCGCATTAGGATATGATGCATGTTGCAAGTGTACATTTGAAATGTTTCTGATGCTTTAGAGGTATATTTTATTTGTTTATATGGATGTTGCAAAAGTAAATCGAGATGTTGCATATATTACAATGGTTGTACACGTACGTTGCAAGCGTATGTCCCAATGTTTCATCTGTTTTTTTGAGACGTATGTTGCAAGTGTGTTTATTGCATATGTTTGACACATATATTGCAAGTGTTTTATCTATATGTTTACGTGGTTTTCAATTATTTTTACAAGTGTTTTAGATGCGTGTTTCATGTGTTCCATTTACCTTTGTTTTTATATGTTGCAAGTTTTGCATCTGGATGTTTCAAAAGTAGATCGGGTGTTGCACATGGGATGCATGGGAAGCGGGAGGGGGCGCAAGTAGTCCCCGCGGGCGGCGGCGAGCGGCGTGGGCCCCCGCGTGGGCGCAGGTAACGCAGGCGCGGTCGAGCGAAGTTCAGGCAACACGGGCCCATGCATGAATGCGCAAAACAAAGGGAAAACTGACTACACCTGCGGGCGTCCGGACATGAGAGTCCGAACGCTAGCAATGCCATTTCTCTAAATATAAACTAGAAGCCGAGACGAGCGGCTATTTCTTAGCTCCTTTGATTCTGGCTCCTCGGCCACTGTAGTACAGAGCTAAAAGGAGCCTAGCTAAATCTTTAATGTCCGGCAGCTATCGTCATTAATATGGACGAAGACCGAACATATATTTTCTGATACTTTTCATCTTCAAAGGGTGAGACCCTACATGGATGGTTCATATTTGAATCTAGACAATAAATATACGTATTGTATCCGAATTTGAAAACTCAAAATATGATTTCTGTTACGTATATGGAATAGATATCAATATCCGGCATGATCTATTTTTGTTTCTGAGATAAAAAAAATATGGGATAGAATGCAGGATTATTGATATGTCTATATTTGATCCGTTTCATCCTTAATCACGGGCGACAGTTGTATCCACCGGTGCGTTGCCAAGTCACTCATTAGGTCGGGTGCGAGTGCTAAATCCTACTCGCATGGTGTCTATTGAGACCCAAAATATAAGGAATATCCCGCTTAACTAAGTATCTACTCCCTCCGTCCCTAAAAAATAGTCACTATGAGAATTGTGTTGATCAAACTTTCTCAACTTTGACTATGTTTGTACAAAATATGTTCAACATTTATATCTCTAAATAAGTTTATTATAAAAGTATATTCAACGATCTACCTAATGATACTAATTATATACCATAAATATTAATATTTTGTTAAATATATTTGGTCAAAGTTAAAAGTTGTTGATTTTTTGGAAGCAAGAATGTTTTTTGAGGGACAGAGGGAGTACATACAATTGCTAACAATATGTTTGGCACCAAAGTATTAATTTTTAGTCCATTTTAAAAATTTCTATAATTATATGACACTTGTATGGTAGATGACTAAATGTGTAACTTTCTTTAATTATTATTGTAATCATGATTATATATTACTTGTGATTGTACGATTAACACACCTGACGGGTGCCCAAAACATGTGGACCGCAGGGTGTGCCGCGGGCATGTGATAATATTTTACGAGTGTTGTCATGGACGGGTACTTGCTCCACCAGCACCGCATCCAATCCATTGCTATCTCTATCTATCATCATCCTAGCAATTAGTCAGTTACCTCGATGATAACCTTAACGTCTACCTGTATTACTTTTTTTCTTTTAGCCTGTTCGCTTGTTGGTTTCAGTCAGAGCTGATCAGCCATGATACGGTGTTTTCTTCTCACAACAAACCAGCATCAATCGGGCTTATTAGCCTAGAAACCAACTAGCGAACAAGTTGTTTCTTTCTAATCAATTGGCTACCTCACGACGACCCCTCGTTTTTGCCGTTGGCTTCATCTAAGCGGATATATAACATGTTGTCTCACTCGTCGCCTCTTAACTCATTACTACTGCGATCCTTCTCCCTTCTAAGTCTGTTAGCTGTAGAGCCCCTCCGATAACCCAAAATCCTAGCCCTAAATCCCCACCACTACCGCTTTCATCCAGCGCTATGGGACGCAAGCCCACAACGACTTTGCCATCAGCCAGTTTCCTACCACCCACCCTCTTCCTCCCCTAATTCTGACAACGCCCTCACACGTGTTACCCCCCCAGTAATGATGCGGGTACACTAAGGGGGTGTTTAGGACTTCTCCACAAACTACACCGTGGAGCAGCTCTACAAAAAACTAGAGTTTGTGGAGCACCTCTTTAGGTGATCTCACAACTTCACTATTTTTTCTCAAACAGAGTGCGTGTAGTTGAAACCGTTTAGCTAAAAAAACGTGGAGTGAAGTAAAAACGTAGAGCGAAACAGTCTCAAACACCCCCTAAATGAAGATTTTGAGTATCTCATAGATTGCTCTTCACTTTTTATTGTGCCCTTGGCTTGGGTTAAGGGCCCCATTTGATACGCTACCAAAATTTGTCAAACCACGTCACAACTTCCACATCTAAGTCGAAGCCATCGTTTGTTTGGTTCACTGAGGCACTTGTGGTGTGCTACAATGTGACCACAACATCTAAGTTCATTTCTATGCCACGAGCTGTCAGAAGCTTGGTGCACAAATCATGTGTTGCATGTTTGGTGAGGCCGAAGCGGTGGCATGGCGCGGAGGGACACGTACCTACACGTTGCAGCCAGATTAGACTACGTTTGGGATATTTATGTACTAAATTATTGTTTTGCGATTGTGCAACACACTGGTGATGGAACCCTTCCCTGTTGGTCAAATATCAATAAACTGTTTAATGCATGTATATAACTATGATCAAGTGTCAATAAGATCAACGTGTTATGCCCCAAATAAGATCAATGTGTTACACATTCTCAGCTTGAACTTCACTTAGAACTTATCAGCAGCCATGGTACAGTGTTTTCCTCTCGCAACAAACCAGGAGAACAATACTTTTCAATCTAATTTTTCAGCAAAGCGAACAGGGAAGGGTTCCATCACCAGTGTGTTGCACAATCAAATAAGCGACCCGCTTTAGTTAGTTTGCAGAAAGTTGAAGATAACAGTCTATGGGTTGTAGCGTGTACTGAGCGCAATATATATCGTCATATCAGCAATTAAATCCTAAAAGCATTTAATACAAGATTTTGTTATTTAAGTTTTCCAAAAAAATTGCCACAAGAAACATTGAATACAGCAGCATCACGGATTGAATGCATCATGTGGCACCTTCGATTGCACGATGTGGGATAAAGGAGTCGAAAACTGAAAACAGATCCTATGTCCACAGTATCCATATTTCATGACCGAAGCTACTGATACAAGGGTGAATTTGGCAAATATTGCGCCTTGAATACAGCAGCATCACGGATTGAATGGATCACGTGGCACCATCGATTGCACGATGTGGGATAAAGGAGTCAAAAAAAAAACTGAAAACAAATCCTATTTCCACAGTATCCATATCTCATGACTGAAGCTACTGATGTAAGGGTGAATTAAGAAGAGGTACTTGGCAAATATTGAGCCTTCAAACAGTCAAAAAGAAGAAAAAAAAACTAAAATACCACAGCCATTTCCCAGGACAAGACTATCAAAACGGATTCATAATTTAGACCTAGTAGCCAAATCCAGAAATCTTATAGATCCGGATGGTTCCATCAGTGTAACCAGCATAGAGTGTGCTTCCATCAGCACTCCAGCTCAAGCATGTGCAGTAGAGCATCTGCATTGTTACACCAAATAATATGTAAGTTTCAAAAATACAACTTCACTAAAGTGGCTTTTAATTGACCCCGTTCGGCTTACCTTATAATCCGCACTATTCAGCTTGTTTTTCAGCCGGATCAGTATTTTTCTCTCACACCAATTCTGCCAGAACAGTGTTTTCAACCAAGTTTCAGCAAGCCGAACGGGGCCATATCATATATCATGAGATAAACACATCGTTACACCAAAACTAACATAAAACTAATTCATCTTACAACCAACAACCTATAAACATTAGACTGATCAGAAATAGACCCAATAGCTGCCAACATCCCAACAACATAAAAGTAACAAAGTAGTGACATGCGAATAACAAGTCATAAGAATAAAAAGAAGCTTTCACCCAATAATATAAAATGGTGAGGTTTTTTAATACCTTCTTCACGCATGACAAATAAATTGAGACAGTTGAGATTTAACACAAAATATCAATAAGGGCACGGCACGCAATCTTGCTTCTATAATACCAATACCACAAGCAATTCTATAATACGGACACCGCAAGCAATCTAATAACATAGTATAATGTAACAGATAACAGATATGTGGCTTAACAGCATATAAGTGCACACAGGGAGCAACCTGCATTTACAATTTAAGCTGCATACATATAGATACTATATATTCTTATATAACTGAACTATTGAGCAGCAACTCAACGAGACAAAAATTCAGAGCATACATGAATCTAAAAAACCAAAACCTTTAAATTGCAGTTCAGTTCAATGTAGTGTCAGTACAGCACAACTAGAGAAACATCAAAACTGCAGCTCGCAAACAAGCATGATACAATAATATCTTTAGTTCCTCATATAAAACTACACATACACATCATCCTAATGCAGGCAACATCATTATAGCTAAGACCTACAAGACTGAAACATATACCATATAGTAGCAACAATCAGAAATCAATCAACGACACATGGATTGAAACATCTATACGAGTCTACGTGATTTACAATGATCAATAGAAACATTTTTACTGATTTACTATGATCAATAGAAACATAAAAAAATGTGAAATGATGGCAAGACTAACCTGGTCCTTGGCGGCCGACACCTCAGGCTTGAGATCCTGGACGACGTGCTTTGATTCAAGATCCCAGATCTTTATGGATTCCTGTGTCGCTGCGCAGAGCCAGTAGCGGTTGGGCGAAGCAGAGCGATGGATGATGTTACCTGCGTCCAGCGCGTACAGCCTCTTGCCCTCGGTGAGGTCCCACAGCAGGGCAACATGGTCTTTCCCTCCGGAGGCGCACAGCGAGCCGTCAGGGCTCACGGCGACGGCGTTGACGTAACCGCCGTGACCTTGGAGTGCAGCGAAGCTTGCAGTTGGTGAGGTTCCACACCTTGACACTGCGGTCCCAGGAGCCGGAGACAATCGTCGGGACGTAGGTATTAGGCGAGAAGCGGACGCACGAAACCCAATCAGTGTGGCCCTCGGCGGCGCCGAGGTCGCCGCCAATTGTGTACTTGCACTCGGATGAGGGTGTTCCACAGCTTGATGGTGCGATCGCGGGATGCGGACACGATCTGGCGGTTGTCGACGGAGAAGGCGACGGAGAGGACGTCCTTCTCGTGGCCGACGAAACGGCGGGTAGTTTTGCCCGTGGCGAGATCCCAGAGACGGAGCTCGCCGTCCCAGGACCCGGAGAGCGCGAACTGGCCGTCGAAGCTGAGGACGACGTCCTGGACGAAGTGGGAGTGGCCTGTGAGGCGGCGAAACGGGACGCCGTAGTCGGCGGTGGTGGTGCCGTCCCCGGCGGCCTGGACGGGGTTGGTGAGGTCCCAGACCAGCAGCGACTTGTCGCGGGAGGAGGAGACGATGAGCGGGGAGTTGTCGATGGGGGTGGCGATCGCCGTCACCACGCCGTTGTGGCCGCGCATCACGCCGGCTAGCACCAGGGTCTCCTGTGCGCCGGCCATGGTGGTGGGGAGGGTTAGGGTAGAGCCGCGGCGGCGCTGAGTGAGATGGGAAGGAACACGGCCGGAGAAGGAGGCGTGGTGTTTTATACGTAGGCGGCGTGGGCACTAGGGTTTAGCAGTAGTAGTACCGTGGAGTTTGATTCAGGGGATAGATCGCAGCCGTTGAATGGTGCCACTATAATGGGCTTCTTTTGAGAGAAAAGAATGGCCTGGCCCATCTCAGCAGGCATGTAGAACGATGAAGGAACTGCGGGGCTGATTCATGGTTCACGAGACATGGGCCTACATCCCAGTTGGCTTACATCCACCTCAACCGCAAGCAAGGAATGCTTTGCCTGCGTCACTTCACATGGTCCAGGCAATTCTTCTCTCTCAAGAAATTTTCATCAAAAAGAAATGCTGTCAAGAAAAAAGTAATGCACAAACAAGTGAAAAAAAAATAAAAACAGTATTTTTAAAATTTTCAAGTTCATCATTCCTTGTTTGATTAAATTCAAAACGATCCTTTCCTTTCAAATAAAAAGATTCAATTCAACATGAAAATCTGTGATACACCAAACATGTTTGTAGTACTATATAGGTATTGTTTGGATCCACTAGCTAAACTTTAGCTGCCTAAATTTAGTTGTGGTGGATCCAAACAGCTCACAGCTAAAGCTAGCTAAACTTTAGCTGGAAGCCAAAATGTATACAATCTCATTAGCTATTTCAACCCAGCTAAAATCAGCTAATGTGCCTCAATGATGATACTACCTTTCTTCCCGTGACCCGTTCCTCGCTGCCGCATCTCCACGAGCTGTCGCCCTTGCGAGGCCTTCCCTTCGCTCCCTTCCTCCGCTCGCTCGTTCGCCTCGGCCTCCACTTTAGTTAGGTGGATCCAAATAGATCTTCAATATATTTAAAATTTTGCTAGTTGGCAACAAGAAACATGTGCTAGACCCACCTTAGACGTATGGACCAATAGAAAGCAAATTACAAATGTCAGCGGTCAACAGTCAACTAGAAACCAGAGTCCATAATACACCATTCTAGATTTGGGCGTCAAAACTAACTTCCTTGGTACCCTCAGGTCATTTTCGTTGAGTTTTTTAGTCGTGCTTAGTGTTCTCAATCCGAACAAGTTGTTGGTGAGCGTGTTAACCAATTGTTTGTTGCTAGTTGTGCTCAATGATTTTGTGTTAAGGGAGTTTCACCCATATGCAAGCGAACGGACGGACGGACGGATGCCCCGTTCTGAGATGCGCGCACTCCACTCCTTTGCGTGTTGTTGTCGCTACCTCCACACGCGCTCTACGTAGCCGGCGCCGCCCTGCCCCAACCCACCCACTGCGTCGCCATTGCCGTCCTCACCCGCCCTCTATATCACCGTCGTTGCTGCTGTGCCCACACCCACCCTCTGTGCCACTGCTGCCGCGCCCACCTGTCCTCTGTGTCGTCACCACCGCCCGTGCCGCCCCTACCTCGCTCCTCTGTGCGCCGTTGGCGAGCTCTATATTAGTGACCTCCACGTACCGACGACCCTCCATTTGCCGAAGCAGCAAGAAAATGTTGTGCTGAAAGCGCATGTTGCAAACGTATGTTTCAAGTGTTTTAGGTATTTCAGAGGTATGTTGCAAGTGTTTTATATCGTTGTTGCAAAAATAGATTGGGATGTTGCACATGTTGCAATGGCTATACATGTATGTTTCAAGTGTATGTTCCAAATATTTCATATGTTTCAGGCGTATGTTGCAAAAATAGATTTAGATGTTGCATATATATGCTTGTTGCAAGTGTATGTTTTAAGTTTTTCAGGTGCTTCATACGTATGTCGCAAGTGTTTCATCTAAATGTTTCATATGTTTGCAATGGCTACACACGTGTTTTCAAGTTTTTTCAGACGTATGTTGTAAGTGTTTCAGACGTATGTTGCAAGTGTTTCAAGCTGTTTTGGCGTACGTTGCAAGTGTTTCATCTGGATGTTGCAAAAGTAGATCTGATGTTGCATATGTTGTAATGGGACCCCATTGTCGCAGCCGCCTGCTGTAACTGCTCGGGCGCCGTCGTGGGTCACCGTGCGAGCGCCTAAAGCCGGCACATGCACCCACGACGTGCATCCACAGACGGGGCAGGTGACTGGGACCCACGTGGGGTCCCGCGTGCACACGCGGCGGTCAGGTGAAACAGAGCGAGCACGATGGTAGGGCGGCAAGCGGCGTGTGATCCACGCGGTGGGGCGCGCAACAACAGGCAACACGGGCTCCATTATCAATTGCTATGTTGGTTTCGAAAGCCCCACTCCTCCTAATTCACACAAAAAAAAGCCCCACTCCTCCTTAGGCGTGCGGCAGCATCAACGCTGGCGCTCCGAAACGAACGTATGGACGCTAGCAAGTTCGATACAACTTGTATGATTTTTTCTTCTTCTAATAATGCCATCATTCGGGAAAGAATCAGACGTCGTTATCCTGATGAATCAATCAATCAGTTATTATCATCAGTATATAAGACAGTTACGGGGCCAGTGTGATTCTATCGCACGAATCGTGAGGCAGGGTCGGAATCAGATTGTTCTCCGGAGTAAGAAAGGCCAAATGCCGAGAGGGACCGGTAGGATGCGGCCAACTAATGTTAACCCGAATCTTTTGTTCTCTCTTCATATCATCCAGGGTGTTTAGGAATTCATTCAGTTATCCTAGTCCCGCCTCGCAAGCCTCCTCCTCCTTGGCTCGTCGTCTGGTCGCCTTAATTTGCCTCTGCTCTTCCTTGCTTGCCCTGCTCCTGCTCCTGCTCCCTTGCCTTCTCCGCGGCCTTTGCAACGCATCCTTCCGTTTCTTTCTTCCTTTATTCTCTGTTAGTGGAGAAAGCCAGCAGGATCTTTGCGGCGGCCAGAGACAGACCTGATGCGTGCTATAACGCGTCCCGTGCCGTGAAAACCGCCTCGCGCGTTTTCTTTCTGCATGAGCTAGTCGGCTGGCTTCCGTTCTCTTTGCCCAGGACCCAGGTAGGTAGCCCTTTTCACCACCTCCACGCCTCCTTCTTCCCCCTTTCTACCCTGAGCGAGTTCAGCTTAAAAGATGATCGAAAGGAGACTCTTTTCAGCGGCCCTCGTGCCATGTCCGTGCTCCCGTGTTCGTTGATAGCAGTAGCACGACGTTTTCGTACCGGAGATGGTGGTTGTCACCTGCAGGTTCAAAATTCAATTATGAAAAGTCTGGCGGCGTTTGTTCTGAACTCTGAAGAAACTTTGTTTCAGCGTTCCAGCGATCGCCGCCGCATGCCGACCACAGATTTGTGCTGACTCCATCTCCAGCGTCTGCGTCTCCGGAAGCTAGCAGCAGCTCGAGGATGGCGGACCACTTCGCGCTGATGACGGGCCGGCTGCTCACGGAATCGACGCTCCAGTCCGCCGTCCACGAGGCCTTTGCCGATGCCGTGGCTTCCACAGCCGCCGGGCCCGATCACGACCAGACCGATCCCTCCGCCGTTCCTGAAGATGTTCAGCTGGGCATGGGCATGGGCATGGGCAAGGGCAAGGCCAAGAGTGGTGTCATGGTGGAGTGCAGAATCTGCCAAGAGGAAGGTGACGAGGCTTACATGGAGACCCCCTGCTCCTGCAAGGGCAGCTTGAAGGCGAGCTTAATTTCCTCTGCTTCTCTTTTCGGTGTTCCAGTTTCATATTTGGCTACACTATGAATTGAAGCTAATTTGCATCGGCATATGGTACATTTTGCATTGATTGAAAATTAAGAAAAAAGAACACATAAAGAAACTAGCCTTGATTGATGCTGCACAGAATAACCAGCCAACAAGTTCGAAACCTGTTTGAAATTCATTACTCCATGCTCAATCATGGATATTGCACCCTCTGGTAGTATTGTCTTAAACTCCAGCAAATTGCTGGTTACTTACTATTACAATGCAATCAGGCATTTCTTGTGTTATCAGTTATCGACTTAGCAAGTGATTATTTTCTTTCCGTTCTATTTCCATCATGATGGGCAACAGATTTTTGTACTGCCCCATAAACGGAAGTTTTACTTGAATCAGTTTGTTGCTGGTTGCAGTATGCTCACCACAGATGCGTCCAGCGGTGGTGTAACGAGAAGGGAGACACCATATGTGAGATATGCTTGCAGGTATCGCTTTCCCAAACTTTCTTATCGTAACCAATCATTCTCAACAGAATTACTACATGACAAGAAGCAGCTGAATATGTTTTAGCATTTTTCTTTCCATGATAGCAATTTAGGTTTTATTTTCCCTTAATCTGAAAATGTCCATTTCAGATTTACTATGTAGTCATAAAAAGGATGAGAAAAAAACCACTATTCAGTCTACGGTGCTGAATGACAGAACACTACTGTTGGCTGACTTCTTTTTTCTGCTCATGATGCCACAGCAACTCAAACCAAACTACACTGCTCCTTTGTTTCGGCATGGAAGGAACCTAATAAATTTAAGGTATCACTCGGTGCTTTATGCCTCTACCTCTCTGACAAAATCGACACTGCAAAGATCTGAAAGCTGATCATTCATGAATCACCTAGTAAATAAAGTTAATCCCATTGTAGGGCAGCTGGAGAAATACGAGAAAACCCCGGTGCTAGTTATGGTCACACCTCGGATCAAGCTGATGGCGCATCAAGCGTTGATTCTCAAAGTCCCAACCTGAAAGGCGTCATATATTGCCAAGTAGTTGCCATTGCTGTAAGCGTTACAAAGGGCAAATTTTCTACTTTATCATGAGTGTTCATTCTGCAGCCAACTGTTTTTTTTTGTTGATTAACACACTTGCAGTTGATGGTTTTGTTGGTGCTCCGTGACGCAATCTTGCTTATACTCCACAACCATGAAGTGTGCTCAGTAGAGCTAATCACTGTAAGGCAGTAAATCTGATACATTATTATCTTACTAATCCTTATTTATATGCAAACTGAACACCTGAACTGTGCAAATTACTCTGCCTATATAGCTGCTGATGTTCAGAACGGCCGGAATTGTCATACCAATCTACATCATCTTGATATCAATTACCGCATTGTTTCATTCGTGCAATCAACGACAGATCTTTAGAATCCAGGTCCATTTTGCATTCCAATTCCAGCTTCTTTAAATGAATCGCACAGCAGAGCTGCCGTCTATATTGATAAAGAAGAAGAATTTCAATGCCAGCTTCATCTACAAATAATCACAATGTGAACTTTCATGAGAATGCAGGCTGTGCACGAGACGCCGGTTCCAGAACCTCGTGGAGCTGGGGGTTTGCAGCATATCATAAACATTTGGTAGGAAGCTGCACGGTGATTCCTGGTCAGGCAGGCTCTGTAAATATCTGAAAAATATTTGGGCTTCAGGCTTGTCATAATGGGGTTTGGAAGTTACAGAATCATTGCGAGATTGTGTAGTGTTTCATAGTAGTTTCTATGTACAAAAGAAATTCTGAGAATATGCCAGTGCACTTATGTCAGGATCCCTTATTTTCAGGTAAACGGTGCTAAGAGTGTAATGTCCACCTCATATTTGAAAATATATTTCTGGTTAATTGTTGTGCTCTGCAATTTCGGAATATCAAAATCACTACCTCTGGATAGAGAGATACTTTTGGACATTAAAGGCTATCTGAAAGATCCCACAGAATTACCTACACAACTGGGATGAATCCCATTCACCGTGCCAATTTTACGGTGTTACATGTGACCACAATTCTGGTGATATCATTGGGATATCACTCTCAGATATCTCACTATCAGGCACTGTATCATCTTTTTTTGAACGGTCAGCAGGGGAGTCCCCTACCTATATATATTTTTATATATATATAATGGAGCCGAACAGAAGTTAAGGCACTATATCATCTTCATTTTCTCTTCTTGATCAATTACGCACTCTGGAGCTTGGGGCAAACTCCATCTCAGGTATTGTTCCTGCTGCGCTCGCCAACTGCACAGATCTGCAGGTTCTTAATCTGTCAATGAACAGTTTAACATGCCAATTGACTGATCTTTCAGCATTGGTCAACCTACAAGTTCTTGACTTGTCGACCAATAGTTTTAATAGGGCATTCCCAACATAGGTCAGCAAATTATCGGGCCTAACTGAATTAGGCCTAGGAGAGAACAGCTTCGACGAAGGTGTTGTTCTGGAAAGCATTGGAGACCTGAAGAACTTAACATGGCTATTCCTGGGACAATGCAATCTTAGGGGAGAGATACCAGCAATCCACTGGTAGCAAGTTGAAACCTTCCTTACAAGAAAGAGTAATAAATTAAGACTAGAGTATGTATAAGAGGAACGGAAATACGAGGAAACGTTCACAGTGACAGCTGACAATACAGGACTGACTCGTCTCATCGTCTGGCATCTAAAATCACACGACCATCCTGGATAGATGAGCTAACCACAGAAGACCCAGTTTGGTAATACAGTAGGAACAGTCCCACAGGTGAAGCACAAAATTTTTATCCATTTCTTCTGGATCCAACGTGACACATTAGGCCAAGAACTATGTGTGCCTCAGTTTTCAGTCACACCCGCTGAAAGGCTACTGTGCAGACTTGAGAGCCCTCAATTCCTCCAAACATTATAGTAGGATATGTTCGGACATGGTCTATGTACCGGAAGATCTCAGACACATCTCCTGCACCTTCATCCACGTTCTCCTTGCCAAATTTTCTCCTGGTGAAATCTTCTACTTCTTGCAGAAGCTCATCCTTTGTGTGATTACATGATGTTATGACCTGAAAAGAGATGCATCGGAAAGTTCATGCCAATTTACAGATGATGAGGGTACAAGCATAAAGATAAACTTTAAAAAGCCTATAGGAGAAAGTACTGACCACAATACCACCAGGCTCAACCAAGTTTGATACAGATTCCCAATATATTATTCTGAATAAAGTAGGTGCAGAGGAGAAATGTTAAACCAACAACATATATTACTGAACTATTTCTTCAAATGTAAAATTACTTTCAAATATAAGTAAAAGACCCAACATGCAAAGCCTCATCATTAGTGATCAGAAACTACAACGCCAGATGAAAGTCAAAAATGACCACACAACCTTGCTTGTTAAGATAGCTTAGAAAAAGAAGCTTTGTGCAGCTGCTTTTGGTTGCTTAAGCCTATTTGTTCCTGGGTGTAACATTCGCTTTAAGCCCATGCGATGTTTTGAAGCTAATCACAAAGCCCTGGGTGCTTTTGTGGTTGTTTCAGAGTTTGGTATGGTGGTTGCTGTTGTGGTGAACTCTTAAACTGATGGAATGCTGTGATTTTGTTGCGTTTAAATAATAGAATTTGAGTTTGCCCGCTATGGGGGGAAAAGACCACAACCTAAAGCCTACAGCTATTCACTGTCGCAGGATGGCTTGTCAACACCTACACTAATGCATACAGTTATTCCAACACTAGCAACATTGACAAGTAAATGTGCTAAAAATTCTCTTCCAGGTTACCAGCTCACAGTTGTACCTTTTCACATGACCGTCGGATTGCTAATGTGTCAAGTTATTCCAGTACTAGCAACACTGACAACTAAAAGTGCTAAAAACTCTCTTTTGGGTATCCAGGTCACAGTTATACCTTTTCGCACGACCATCTGGATGCAATCCGATGGCATCCAATGTCCCTTTGTCTGTAATAATTTTGAATTTCCTATCTAACTTTGTCTCAAGTATATCATCAACCTGACAAAAACACAAAAATACAAGGGATTACAGAGACGAAAGTGCCCCATCATGAAAACACTAAAGGCAAATCATTTGATAAATTTCAAGGTCCATGACCCCAATGTATGTGAGGTAAAAAAATAAAAAATAAATGTATATTATTGAAACAACAGCTGTCCTAAAGCATTAAAAGTACTCGGCTGCATTTAACTGGTTGTGACAGTCTAATTCTTCGAAACTATCGAAATGATACCTATTCTAAATTAACGGAGAGTATACTGAGCTGAGAATTTGTAGTGCATAATTTGACAAATGCAAAGTTAGATATCATTACAAATGTACAAGGTAATGCTTCAATAACATGTGACTATTTTACATTATTGATTTCTACAGTACATCGACTCATTCCTGATAATTATGCTTGCTTAACACTTTAATAATGGTCTCTGGGCTAAAGTATTTTTTTTCTTGGGAAACTGCAGTTTTGGTTTGATATTTTCCACAAACAATGGAAGGTCCAAGTTTTATTTTGACAATTACTAATGGGAATATTATGTTCTTGCCCCTACTTTGATGTCCAATTGTGATTTTATCCTTGTTTTTGTCATCGTTGTGATTTTACCCTTCTTTGTAACTACTAAGGCTCAGTTTATCCCTACTTTTAACTCTGTTAGTTGTTTCCAGAATAAAAAAATTAAAAAACAACAAAACCCTTCATAATAAGACCAAAGGACAATAATACCCCTTATCCAATCATACCTTCCCCAATTCCCCATTCTCTCTACCGTATCCTCTCTATCTCTCCCGTTCTTCTCTGAAACCCTAGCGGGTGCGGCTGGGCGACGAGGGCACGGAAGCTGCTGGGCGGGTCGTGCGTGGCCGCGTGAGGAGGAGAGGCACGGCACGCCCCGAGCCGGCCAGCGGGCGCCGCATGGTGGTTGTGGCAGGCGCGTCATGGCATGGCTGTGGGCGCCTGTGGCGTCATGGATGACTAGGCGCCCATGCTGTGTGCAATGCCAGCGGTCTGGGAGGCGGGACAGGCTCAGCTGCGTGGTCGGGCGGCGAAGCGCCCGGAAAGGCAAGCCTCAAGCGCTACACCACGCGAGCGAAGGGGAGCAGCGACCCGGAGAGATGGATTTATCGACGTTGGTGAAGAGACTAGGTAAGATTTGGAGCTCATGTGATTTGGTCTGTAGGAAAATTAGTATCAATCTGTAGGAAGAATGAGTTTATGTTTGTAGAGCGATTTAGCTAACTATGTATTCGGTGATGTGATTTGTAGGCCAAATCACATGGATATGAGCCTTGTTGTTAGAGTTCTGTCATTTTTCAGTTTGCCTGATGGGGGACCAAAATCATGGCGACAGGGTAGAACCTTGCCTACTCAAGTTGTTGACATGCATAGCTTTGACCTACTGCAGACTAGTTAATTTCATATTTGAGCACTACATGTGGGGTTCAAAAGCAATTACATAAGTTTGTGGCGTGCATTGGATGAAATTTCTAGAGGACCTTCTATTGAGATTAAAAACCGATGAGCGAGTTGCTTGAGTGGTTTGAACTCAATAAAGATAAGGGAAAGGTGTACATTAATGCCCAAATTAATGATTTTGAGGGTCCATTGCGATATTCACCAACAAAACGTAGGTGCCACCCTTCTGTGGAATAGAGTGCCCGCCAATGAGACAAACACTGCTGAGAGAGCCACATCCACAAACAAAAAAGAGAGCCACCAAAAAAGAGAGAGCCACCAAATCCAAAGCAAAAGGCGCACATCATGATGAGGGTGTAGGAGTTGATGAGGAGGGCATATATTCTGACACTGATTCACTTGTGGCAGCAAGTGATAGCAGCTATGATAGTGACTTGGCTGCATCTTCTCAAAATGAATCATCTTCACAAGAAATGTGAGTCATGCTCATTTGTTTTTGTTTTTTTTTTGCTTCTTTACTCATGCTTATTTAGTCAACTTGTTTACTGAACCATTTTTCTCCATTCATGTGAAGTGCAAGTGCAACTGCAAGTGCAAGGGGAAGGGGAAGAGGAAGTGCAAGTGTAGGACTGGAATGGAAGGAGAAGGATAAGGGAATGAATGAAGAAGGAAGAGGAAGAGGAAGAGGAAGAGGGGGGAGGTTGGGTGCATTGTTAGGAATAGATGCATGAATGTGATGTGTGACACTGAACATGCAATATCTCACTATTAGCTACCGCTTTTGTTGGACTTGTATGTTGGATGAGGCTTGGTACTGTATGGATACTTTTGCTACACTTTCATTTGATGTGATATTATCTATCTATATTTGCATGCTGTGTGGAATCATACGTAACAAGTTGTGCAATGATGTTGCCAAATTTTTAAAAAACAGGGGTAAAATCACAATGTATTCAGATAAGTAGGGGCAATTTCGCATGGGCAAACTTGTCCTTACTGAGCCCATTTGACACCGTTACCTGCTGTTCCCGGAGTAGGGGTAAACTTAAGCTTCGTTTTCAAAAAACAGGGGTAAAATCACAACGATGACAGAAGCAGGGGTAAAATCACAATTGGACGTCAAAATAGGGGCAAGAACGCAATAGCCCCATTACTAATATTCAATATCCTAAATGTTGCAACTAAAGAATAAAATAATCCTTAGTTATCTACCTGCTTTTCTTATAGACACATTAGCAAAATTAAATAACAAATCCAATTTGAATAACACAACTATATAGATGCGCATTAACATAATTTTAAACAGAGATGCAAAATCACTTAAAAAAAAGAATTAGACTATTAAGAACAGCTATGTTGTTCTCAGATAAGCTTGCTCCTTGGTGTTATTGGCCATTAGATAATCGTAAGTCACATATGATACCACTAACAACAAAGCACAGGATTTCAAGGAAAAAACACAGTTGGACAAGTTCAGTTCACATATTTGTAGCATGCATGGAAAGAAAGAGTTTGATCTGAACATATGTGCTAACCAAAAAGTTTATTGAAGTGAAGCCATCACGAGCAGCTAGGTTTCTTGCAAGTTCAACAGCTCCTTTACTGTAATCCGTTCCGGTTAAGTCTGTAAACCTGGAAAAACAGCCAATACCATTTGGTGACAAATAGAGATGCGATCCTTTTCTATTGGTTGTGTCGACCCGAACTCATCAAACTGAATTAATATGGATTTCAAAGCAAGAACGAGGAAAAGAAAATGAACCAAAGGAGCGACCCAGAAATAACACCTTGGTACCCACTCACCTCTCAACTAAATTCTGTCTTATGCAAAAAAAAAAAAAAAAAAAAGAAGAAGAAGAAGAAGGGATAAAGGGAGTTTTTCTCAATAAAAAGATGTTCTAATCAGAGGTGCCTAATCAAAATCTCTAACATTTTTTCTCAATAAAAAGATGTTCTAATCAGAGGTGCCTAATCAAAATCTCTAACATTTTTTCTCAATAAAAAGATGTTCTAATCAGAGGTGCCTAATCAAAATCTCTAACATTTTTTCTCAATAAAAAGATGTTCTAATCAGAGGTGCCTAATGAACCTTCTAAAATACAACTTTTAAACTAAAAAGTGCCTAATGAAAGTATCTCATTGGTGGTTAAGGTATGATGGTCCCTTAACATTAAGGATTTCTGTCAGAGCCATTTTTAGAGTAAAGGACAGTCACAGAAATGTTTTTAACACAAAAAAAACCTTATATAAACAAGATTGCAAATCAATTGGCACAAGCACAATCAGTTGAAGAAATCTTCAGCAGCCCAAGATTTTGTGGATTACTTTACCACAATACATTATTTATTGGGAAGCTAATTAAACATCATTGAGAAAATTTGGGTAGTACCCTTGCTTAGCAAGTGCTTGCAAAAGAAGGCCATTCCCAGTTCCAACATCAAGAACAGGGTAGTTGGAGAATAAATTTTCATCGACTTCATTTTTTATGCTGTCTTGACCAAATGGAATCCTGCCTTCAATAATGCTACACAAACTTTTGGTCCAAATAGCAACTGTGTCCATTACATCTGCACCAAACCTACAAACAGGAGGTTCTGTTAACAACCTAAAATAGAAAATCCCCTTGCACTCTCAGTATTCTAGGGAAAATGCCAACAAGTAAAGAAAAAGGCGGTAGATCATAATTGCTTAGAAACAAAGAGTCCACCTTAATAAGTGAAGGATATAATATTTTGTCATGTGAATTCTGAGTTCAGTGTGCCAAAAATGGGAATGCAAGTATCCATGCCCAGTGACTCAGTTGCATTTTCTTGAACATATACATGGGCACATGGCACCAAAAGAAATTTATTGAACAAACCTAACGAAACAGTAGCTAGTGGTAAACATAATGAACAAGAATAATGATACATCATCTCCAAATATTTTAAGCTGACCATTCCATACTTGGACAGCTCAAAGTTCAAGTAATGTCCCTAGTAATAGCAAGAAATTAGTTAGCATAAACAATTTGGGCTTCGAAGGGCGGGCCTGGTGCAAGCGGTAGATTCTTACGGCCTGTGACCGGAAGGTCCCGGGTTCGAGTCGCGGTCTCCTCGCATTGCACATGCGAGGGTAAGGCTTGCCACTGACACCCTTCCCCAGACCCGCACAGAGCGGGAGCTCTCTACACTGGGTACGCCAAACAATTTGGGCTTCATTGCAGCAATGAACAAAAATATGCCACTTTCAATGAACAAAAATATGCCACTTTTTTTCTTAAAGCCGATATTTTGATAGTTGATATCAACAAGGATATGATGTGGTTACCATATTTCTCCAGTATGCCCATGTTCCTGAAAATTTGCAAGATCTTCCGTATAAGAAGCATCCCAATAACTTTGGAGACCCAGCATTGATCCTTCAACATCACCAGGATCTTCATCATCCTTATCAGAGCTGCCTCAATAGAAGGGCATTTTAGAACACGTTAAAAAAGGAAAATATCTGTTAACTATTTAAATATACATGTAAAAAACATCTAAGGATAAAAATAAGCAGGCAACAGACCAGGTTTTCCATTCCTGCCATCTGCACACAATTACAGATTCAGAGTATGCCAGATCTAGGAGGTTCATCTGACCTCTAACAAGAGATTGTAACTATAGGAATCCATTATCTGGACTCTGGAGAATTTGGTGTATCTATTAAAGAGACCAGACATATGCCACATAGATTAAGTGTGGTGGAGTGGTACACCTCAGCCCCTTGGTCTCAGTCCCCCTTGTGATAGTACTAGATGTCAAGTTGACAATCTGTATTCAAGGGACTCTCTTTTAATTTTTCCCGGGGGGGTTATCTGTTAGTTGAAGGAAAGGTATGGTTAATATTTTTGAGACTTTTTTGTGCCATTATAAAGATCATAATCCGTCATGTGCCTGGAGGAAAAGCCAAGGAGAGGCTCGAGCTCGCGTGATCGAGGACTTGTGTGGCTGGTGCCGACGCCACTACTTCTAACTTTTACATGTGGGTGGGTCCTCCATGACGCATTAAGCGCCTTAATCAGTTCAGACTCTAGCTTGCCGTCAATGCACGGCAGGTGTGAAAAGGCGAAAATACCCTTAAGTTCAAATATGTTACGGCCGCCTACCGAGCTTAGCCAGCCAGGAATACAGCAGCAGGCTCGGGGCCAATAATTTTTTGAGCATCTTAACAACTTCAAATGAAAAACTCAAAACTAGAAAGTTGTAGATCTCGTCGAGATCTATAATTTTCATATAAAAATTATTTTCATTTAATTCATAAAAAAATATGATTTGATATGATTAATATATCTTAGAAAAATCATCATGGCGGCAGCGTCTACCCCCGAGCCTCCACCGATTTTTTTGCGGAATTAAATAAAATAATTTTTATATGAAAATTATAGATCTTGACGAGATCTACAACTTTCTAGTTTTGAGTTTTTTCATTCAAGTCGTTAAGATGCTCGTCGAAAAAATTAATAACATATTTGAACTTAACCTTGGGCATTTGACGGCATCTTTTCACACGCGCGCGGCGATGCGATTGGAAATGGATGCGATTTGACGACCTTCCTCGTGGCCTGGCGATCACCCTTAAGTGGGTGTACAAGTTTGCCATCGTCAGAGCCTAAGGTTTCTAACGGAAGTGGCGTCGGAGGCTAAACGGAGAGTGGCGCGTTCATCACATGGACCGACTTGAAGGAAGCGCTTAGTGCACCCGGAGGGGGGGCGCGATCCCGGCACATGGAAAGTTGAAGTGAGTGAAAGGATTCTACGCAAGACCGCTGATTTTCCCCAGGGCATCGTCTCGGCTTGGCGAGGGAATTACGATCTTTTATAATGGCAGCCCGCCATTACACTACGTCCCGGAATGGAGGAAATGCCCCTGTCGGGAAAAGTCTCATATTTTTTCATTTGTTAGTTGACATCATCCATCTTTTATAATTCTGTACTAATCAACTCTACTTGATAAACACGGAACATTAAGAGCAACAGTACCTAAGATCGGGCATGCATCTGTCTTGGATGATACTAATGGGCAAGTTGCGAAAAGGCATCCACCATATTCCCTCCTTTTTCCACAGATTCAGTGCTAAACATAACAAAACATTGTGCACAAAACCAAAGGTGCTGACAGCAGCCACAAGAGACCACAACCCGTACAGTAGCTAAAGGAACAAGCTCTCTACGATATCAAGCATTATCGGGTCCCCCGCAATTCGCTAGATCTATATCTCGAGGTCAATAGCATCCGGTTCGCACACGAATGAGGCCATTCGGCAGAAAATGTTTCGTACCAGTAATCGGAGGCGGCGGAGGGGAAGTTGGCGGAGGCCGCGGAAGCGGCGAGCACCTCGGCGGCGTCGGCGTAGCGCTGGTCATCGTCGAGCGTGCTCCCGTACTCGCTCCGCACTGACCATGAGTCCGCCGCAATGGACCGCTCGTCGTCCGACGCCATTTCCAGCCCTCCGCTGCCACCGCCTGCCCCGGCGACGGAGGGTGGGAGCTGGGGGCAGGGTGGCGTGCCAACGGGCATCTCGGGCTCCTCGGGCGTAAGCCTTATTCCGGCCATGGCGGATCGGGTATTTGGGTCGGAGATCGGGACGAGGGCCGCGCGCGGCGGCTGATGCCGGGAGGGGGTCTCTGAGTCTGGGACCGGGGCGGGCCTGTTTGCTTGTTTACCGGCCAGACGCCAGAGTGCCTGGTGCTGGTGCTGTCAGCATTCTCATCACACGTGTTGGATTTCAATTAGCTGGAGCTCACATCTTTTTTTTCCTCAACTCTTCCAGTACAAGTGTAAGTGTAGTATCTGAACTTACACATTAGGTCATACCACCACACGCACACAAACTCACTCACATACACCCTAGTGTGCAAGCTAACCTACACCTACACGAAGAGGCCTTGCGTGGTCGGGACGAGATATCCGAAGTCCTCCTCAGCTTCGTGACGTGGTGCGTCAGCACATCACACTCGATTATTGTGGCACATCCACGCGTGAGGTGCTGAACTTATACCAAGAGCTTATAAGACATGGTACGAGAGATTTTCTCTCCTAACAAACCACGGTAGTATCCAAATCAATTAAAGTTTACAAGCGGCTTTCTGATAAGCAAACCGAAACAGAGAGCCATTGGAGAGAAATGAATTATATTGTTTAAAAGTTAAAACTAAGACTAAAAAACACTTATAAAAACATACATACATTCTATTTAGAGTTTCTTTTTAAATTACAAAAGGGAAGAGCTTATATTTTCAGTAGTTTTTTTTTCTAAGTAGCGCAATCGAGTTTTGCATTTAGGCTCCATATCTATCGGCTAACCTATCAAGCTAGACCATGAAGGTAAAGCAGGTACCACTGAAAGATGTATCGATGAAAGCACATACCAGTCAAAGAGGTATGATGATATGAGAGAGTCATTCGTAGACCCTTGAAAATTTGCTACACATGTTTTCCGCATAAATATACTAGCTTTACCTTTAACATTGAATACAAGGTTAGGGCGTCTCCCTCTGTTGTTATGACGAGGACTATTTTGTTGCCTCTAATCGAAGCTACTGCTGCCTCAAAGCTCATTAGAAATTGGTGTGGATCTGATTGGATGTTGTATTGTTGGTAGTGCTATGGGCTTGTAAGTCATTGCCAGGAGGATGATTGAAGGCCTTCGGACAAAGGAATTTAGCACTGCGCCAAAGGCCTGTTTGGCGCTAGGATTTATGGGTTGGATGGGGTTCGATTAAGGTTGGGGTTGTCTAGTAGTTAGATCCGATTGGTGGGTATGTGAATTGGGGTTGTCTAGTAGTTAGATTCGATTGGTGGGTATGTGAGTGAGGGGCTGAGGTTAATTGTATATATGTATATGGTTGGTTGGTTCTAAGGATTTTGATCTCTACTTGGACTAGCATTAGTTGTTGCCTTACTTCGATGATCTGCTGAGCTGTAAGGTTGCTCGTTGATTAGCTGTTGTTTGATCCACTAGCTTGTCTCTTTCTTGCTAAACTCTCTAGAGTCCTTGCATCTGTTGTAGCTGTTGTCTAGCGTGAGTGGTTCTGGGGCTCCATTGGTAGTGGGGCTCTATGGTCAGCACTGGGTTCGGATTGATCATCTGTAGTTTCTTCTCCCTCTTCAATGGGGCGGAGGCTTATCGACTTTGTATATCACGACAAGTTCTAGTGGTTGTTGGAGCAGCTTTCTTTTACGTGGCATGATGGGTTTTTACTCTTAGCTGAGCATCGTGGATACCAATGTCGCGAGAGCAATTCCAGAGGCTTTGCTCTCACAGGTGGGAATGGTACTCAAATCTTTGATCGCTATGGTAGGTGGGCAAAATCATCTTCTTTTGTTGTTACAATTCTCTCTCCCTTTTATAGGTGTCTGGGCCCCGGGATCCTTTTATAGATCTCGAAAATACATCTTACATGCTACAAGATATTCCTAGGATCGATGACAATGCACTCATAGGGTTACATAAGGATTTTTCCATGGGCAAACCGCCTTATAATTTGGGTCCGAATGGGCTATTAATGGAACTAGGCTCAATGAACCCCCTTCAAGATCGAAGGTTCCGCCTTCATCTTCTTGATCTTGCCCTGACTTCACCGCCCGGAGCCCAGAGGTTGTCTTTGGTCTTGATGTAAGGTATGCCTATCGCTCAAAGCTTCTGGGTCAATCTTGTCCTTTGGTAGAGATGTCATAGTTGAATTAATTGAAAGTGAAAACAATCACATTTACCATAGAGCTGATAGAAAACCATACAGATGATGTAGTTGAAAGTGTAAACAATAATATTTCTACCTTTGGTACAATTTCAAAATTTTCAAGGTATGTTATTTTATTAAAATGGTGCAAAAGGATTCTTTTATTTTTCCTCTATAAAGTACAAGACTTTGCTATACTCCCTTGGTCCCAAAATAAGTATCGCTATACCTCGGTCAATTTTTTTTAAAAGTTTAATTAGGCTTGTAGAAAATATTAGCAACATTTGTATCTCCAAATAAGTTTATTATGAAAATAGATTCAACGATCTATCTAATGATATTAATTATGTACTATAAATATTAATATTTTCTTATATATATTTGGTCAAACTTAAAAGAGTTTGACTTCTCAAGAAACTAGAACGACACTTATCTTGGGACGGATGGAGTATACTGTAGTTTGGGAATGCTATCTTTTGTACCTAATTGCTACCTTGTGTGATATAGTATATGTCACGCCCGGCAGGATGGTCATCAGAAGTATCACCGGAAGTTGTCGCCACAGTGGCTAAGTAGTGATTAAATTAGGAAGGGATCATGACCCCATTGTAGTAGGATTGGGCTAGATTAAACAACAAGGGGAGTGTTCGGCTGGCATTCTTTGGCTGGCTGGTTGTCCTTTTTTTTCAGCGGGAGCAGTGTTTTTCTCTCATAAAATTTTAACATGAATAGTGATTCCAGCATGAACAGTGCCAACCTTCAGTCCAGCCGAACACTTTTATGGGCTCAAGCCCATTAGCATGTAAACCCCCTCTATATATATATATAGGAGGGAGAATTATTGAAAGAGGCAAGCTAATTTTGGGGCTAAACCCTTTTATCCCTTCCCCCTCCTCTTCTCTCTGCTGCCACTGTGGCCCCTCTTTCTCAAATGTAGACCTTCATATGCTTTCGGATTTGTAATAACCTTGTTGCTAACCTGAAAATGTAGACCTTCATCTCAAATGTAGCAATCATATCCCATAGGTACATGAAAATGCAGACCTTCATCTCAAATGTAGCAGTCATATCCCATAAGTGTCCTCTGTTAATGCTTCAGTATGCTGATAGACGATAGGTAACTCTGGTGTCTGGTGTAGTGAATAGCTGGCTACTCCAGAGTCCAGACCAAAGTGTTGCTGTCCGTTTGATTCTAAGTTTGATTGTACTATTTATACATGGCCAAACAGGCCGCCCAGGCATTGGCACGCCGAGGCACGGCACGGCAGGGCACGGCGGCGCTGCCGTGCCATGCCGCGTAGTGCCGCCGTGTCGGCATCCCGGCTCAGGCACGACACTACGGCCTCACATCCGTGCCAAGCCGGCACTATGAGCACGGCGGCCCAGCGTGCCCATGCCAGCCCGGGCGTCGTCGTCGGCGCCGCCGTGGCGAGGAGCGAACTCGTCGACATTGCTGCAGTCGCTTGAGCCGTCCACGCCGCCGCCACCATCACAGCGCGTGAGCGTGAGGCCGCGCATCCGCGCGAGGGGCTCCGCAAGGTGGACGACAGGATGAGGTGGCTAGGCGAGGAGAGGCCGGCGCTCGGAAATGGAAGGAGCAGGGAGACGGCCGCGCTCACGGGTGTCGGCGTGTCGAGGCTTCGAGAGAGAGGAGTGTGAGACACAGGCGTGGTAGGGTTTGGGATTTTTCTATTATATATTTCTTCATCTACATCTAACAGCTCTAATATATCCAAGGCAATCCAACGACAGAGAATGATCGGGCCAAAATCGTGCCAGCCCATTAGTCGTGTCGTGCTCGTGCCGGTACTGCGGGCCCAACTCACGGCCCAGACACGGCACTACCCGTGCCGGCACTGGCACTATGGGCTTCGTGCCAAGCCGGGCCTGTGCCATGTTTTTTTGGACCGGGCTCGTGCTAGGCCCATCTGGCCATATATAACTATTTTCTATGGCCACTTTGTACTCAATTTGACACTGAATGATTCAGTGGTTGCCTAAATTGTTAACTTACTATTGGATGGTTTTTTTGAAAGGCACCATTGGATGGTTAAATTTAACATAGTCACTAGTGAAGGGGGCGCGTCATCACGCGCATGTGCAGTCATATGTAAAATTTTAAATATGGAGAAATTGCGTGCGGTGACTATAACAAAGTATATAGATATATATTTAGGATGTATATAAGCCTACCGCTGGATATTTGATCCCCGTATTCAAATCCATACCCATGATAATTGGGTAGGGTATGGGTAGAAATAAATTATCCATTTAGATTTGGGTGTGGGTAGGGTAATACCCGCTTTAATCATTAAATATTCATTTACCCGCTCAGTTTGAGGTGCGTGCAAACTCCGGCTTGGCGAGACACGCTAGCTGCTGGCCCTGACGCGCTCAGCAAGCAAGTAGTACGACTACAGAGTATAATATGTGTTCGTGGGTATATGATTCAGATTATCCAACGGGTACGGGGAATTACGGGGAGGGTATAGAATGGATATCTTACAAATGGATTTGAATATGGGTAAGAGCGGGTTTGCTCATACTCTCCCCAACGACAGGTATTACACATGTCGAAGCCTGAGGATGATGCATATATATAAATTATATGCACAGAGATATTACATGTGCAAATACTCTGTATGGTACATCCATGTAAATACAGACCAGAGAGATATTTAATCTCCTACTACGACTAAAAAGAACAAAGTATGGACATCGTTTTGGTACGATAATTGCTTTGCTTCGTCCGTCTGCCACCCCATGCGATCGATCCCACCTCCCACGCTGTCTAACGGGCGAGCGAGAAAAGGAAAGGAGCGAGTGAGAAAAGGAAAGCCCGCGATTTATCTCCTTGATTGAATATTGCATGTT